TCAGTCTGCCTATGATGAATTACCTCAACCATCATTCATTTGCTCTGTTTCTATTTTTCCAATTGTCACGTTATTTCATTTTAAATTCACAGTTAAGTTCATCACATTGGTTGAAATCTGAATTTGAAAACTTGGAAATCATAGGCTATGTGACCAGTAATTTCTGGATCCTCAGGCTCCACTTGGGAATGAACTAGAGAAGATGGTGCCTATGACACATTGCTGGGGGATGACCTTAAGAATTTCTGGGCGCTCACAGGTGATTCCAGGAATCTCTCACCCCAGACCCCAATCATTATACAATATGCATCAGGTTAAGACTAATTGGAATTTAGGGTCAAAATAAGAGAACTGATAATGACTACATGACTCTGTCCCTTCTGAACTTTCATATTATCTGCCAAGGGAACTAAGAGAAAAATTTTGAGCACAGCTCACTCCAGATGGCTATAATCCTGAGAGATTAAAATAACATCAAAAGACAGGTGAAACACTCCACTGCCGATTGCATTGTTCTGTTATCCCTAGTGGGGTTTTGTCACCTTTCAGCTGACACTAAAGTTACAGGCCTGCTGAGAGATGAGCTAATGAGTTTTCCATAAATCTGTTCTGGCGGGCCGGGGATCTAGCTCAGTGGTTTTGCCGCCTGCCTTGCAAGTGGAAGGACCCGAGTTCGATCCCCGATACCAACAAAAGAAAAAGAAAGTAAATCTGTTCTGGTTCTTCTCAGGTGTACTGAGCCATTCCACATGTCCTGGAAGGTAAGTGGGTCTATGTTCAGGAGATGCAGAAGTAGTTGGGTAAGCAATATCTTCTCCAGCTTTAGCCATCATGCAGCTCAGAGAATGGCTCACTCTGCAGTGCAATTGGAAATCATTTTATAAGTGTACTTACTGCTTTAATTTAATTACTCATAAACTTAGTGGACTTTTTTATATGAAATACTAAATTAATTTCAAGTGTTCTTTCCTCTGAATTCAGTGACTTTGGCTTACTACCTAAATCAATTCTCAGGGAAGATATTGTCACTTTAGAGTACAGCTTTAAAATTTGTATTTACCCTCTTTATAAAAGAAACTTTAACTCTGAACCTTCATGAAATATTCCATTTTTTTATACAATCTTTACAAGGCATTTCAAAGTGTAAAAGAATAATATCAGCATTTGGCCATTTTTAAAAGTATACGGCCATTTAAATAGTTTTAAATTATTTAATATTTGCTGAGGCTCATAATTTAAAGCATCTTCTTCAGAGAGCTTAACTTCATTCTCACAAAACAGGTATTAGCATTTTGTTATATGCACATTTCTTCTCCCGCTATTAATTTTACAAATTCTTACGTAATGGTGTCAGCAGTTAAGTGACTCTAGCTATTGAAAAATCTCATACCAGAGAACAATAAAAGACCCCAATGATATTAAAAATAAAGAATGCAAAGTGATGACAATAGACATTTCCCTTGCCTGGCTAAACATTATCTAAGTATATATTCCCCCAGAATTTGGTAAATAAAAAGACTGTTTTGACCTTTTTTATTTTCTCCATCTTCATTATAAAAATACTGTCTCTGCTCTTATTAATAATGGATAAGCCAACACAATTACATTTCTCATTGGGAATTGTACCTTTACATAATGCATCTTGGTTCTTATTTTTTCCCCATTCCTAGCCCTCCCTTCACCCCTATTTACAAAGACTTTATTTCCATTTTTTCCATTTCTCAGCATTTTTCCTTTCCCTTCTTTCCTTTCCCCTGCCCCTCCCACTACCCCTACTCCTTTGGACCTTTTCTTCCTATTTTACATTATCGATTATTCATTCTAATCATTGGTACATTTTAGGTATACAATATAATGACATTCATCATTGGAAATTTACACCTTGTGTTGTATACTTACAATGTACCAATAAAAGAATTTAATACAAAAAAAATAATGGATAAGCCATTTCGTGAGGGAAAAAAATTAGAACAAAATATTTTCAACTTCCCTGATCTCTCTATGTAAATTCTTTCATCCAAAACTGATTATTTAATTATTTATTGATGCATGTAAATGTGAAGCAGACTTCTTTGTAATAAATTGTTTTTGTTTTTGTACTGGAGAGTGCACTCAGGACCTTGTGCTTGCCTGGAAGGTGAAGTGCCACTGAGCTACATTCTGCCCCTTCTTTGTAATAAATTGAAAAGGCATGAGGATAAATGAAGGCAAATACTGGTTCACAAGATCACAAAATACTCTTTATTTCTTTACCAGACTGAAGAGAAAAATCTTCTCATATGCAGCCATATGTATTTCTGAGGAATGACTGTCTCTCTTGTGATAAAATGCCACTGGGTTTTCTTGTTTCTGTAGTTTTCAATAGCATTGAGTCCCTCTTGATATTGCTGAAAATGCCTTTAAACCTCTCAATAGTGTAAATACCCGTGAACAATTGGCCCCTCCTTACAAAAGTATTTATTACAGTCTTTTGAATTCATAAAACTATGAAGTTATTTACTGTTTTTGGAGGGTGTTATGGCTCTTGTTTATGTACTCAAACAATCCTGAAATTTTCTCCTTCATTTTGCTGGAAGTGGTATAGTTCAGAACACAAATGCTGTGGTCTCAGGACTGACCATCTATTTGGCAGTGACACTGCCTCTACCTAACTGTGTCAGCTGTTTCTACCTTATTCCTTTCTTATTTTTCCAATTCCAGTTGTCTAAAATGTTGGAGTCTGTAGTCCAGTATACACACACAAATCTATATGACCCATATGAATGCTGAATCTCATCCCATGGCAAGTTTTCTTTTTGGCTTTCACTTATTAATAAAAATAACATTGAACACAGCCATAAGAAGTTGACTTCTTGGGTTCAGCAATAAGAAACTATTAGGTGACCTTTTTACATATCTAATGTACCTGATTATGTGCTGGACATGTCACTTCATCTCTGAGCTATATGCAGATTATGCTCATATAACAGCTGAGATAGAAGGGGTGTGCTCCTTGCCTTTCTTTATCACACTGTGATGGGTTCACCCACAAGACCAGAAGCATACTAATTTTCACAGGGGTTTCAGAGGCCTCGCTGTCTTCCATTGATCGCAGGTCTCTCCTGCCACTGGTTCCAGGGCATGGACCTGAGCATTCTTCCTAATGGTTGCCCATTTCAAGATAACATCTACCACAAGCTTGTTCATGGTCTTAGAAATTGCAGAAATAACACCATATGTATTAGTGAGTTAGTCCTGGATCATGGCATTAATGAGAATGTACACTATAGTACATTTCTACTGATGTTATAGCAGGATTCACTGAAAGTTATGAGAGCTCCTGCAGAGGACTGGTTGAAAAGAATGCACAGATTTCCCTTCAATATTTCTTCCTCCCTGTGTGTTTAGTGTATTCCCATACTGCCCATTAGGCTTTTTGTACCTCATTCCCAGGATGGCCTTCTGCATGAGAGTTCCTTCAGGCCCTTCTTCTGTGTTACATTCCTTGTCATTTATTCATTCACTTATTAAAATCCAGTCTCTGTGAGGCAGCTTGTTTCCTACCATGGGTAAAATGATATTTTTGTGCTTGTTGTGTTAGGTCACCTAGGTACTTTAACAGCATTGTCCATTCGAAGAGCCATAGTACCAGGAGGGTCTCTTAGATCATCTCTCTGATGGAGCAACTTCCTGTCCCATTGCCTGAGCTCCACAACTGAGTGGTGATAAGCATATATGAGCTGGATGAAACCTGAGTAGGAAAGTAGGATTACTTTTACTTTGTTTTCATATTCTCCAATATACATTTCCTTGTAAAATTGTATCTTACTACAGAATTTGCTATATACTTTTCTTTACATCACATGCAAATGCAGAACAAAGATATTTGGAATATGTGTTTCACTAGTGCAGATTTGTATGATCCATAAAATTTGGAGACAGTTGGATGATTGATCATATTTTTGTCATCTCTTGGAGTGTTTCTTGGGAGTTAATAAGAGTGAGTGATCATTACAGCCTCAAAATTTGTCACTCTTCTAGATCAGTGCTCTGAAAAAAGGAGACCAACTTCTATGTTCCCAAGAAGTTTTGCCAGTTTCAGGTAATGACCTTCTGATCTCATGATACCATGAATGCTATGTAAGCTCTCCAAGTCTGCACATATCTATCATGGCTTATTCATTTGTCTTTGTTGAAGAAGCCCCTCAAGAAATACAGAAAATAATGCAGTCCCATGGTATCATTTTAAGAAAACTTTAATATTGTCCTTGAGCAAATTTAAAAGGTTATATATTGGTTAACACTAAACTACTTAAAACAAAAGCAAAATATAATTTGAACTTTAGAGAAATCACATCAAAAACAAATTTGTAATTCATTTTTTAATTTATTACATCTCATTCTTTTATCACATTATACTTAAGTGTTGTTATGTATCTAGTAATCCCAGTTCTTTAAATATTACTAATATATATCTTATAATTTATAGCAAGTAGAATTTTGCTAAATAATTGTATGTCACTTACATACATTAAATACCAGACAATTTAAACTTCTTTATTTTGTGACAGTGTGTGATCCATAAATGGCAGAGATAAGTAGACAATTAGATTAAAATACTAGTTGTTTATTTCTGGGCATGTTATGTGAGGAAACCTTAACTTACTGAAGAAGTAAATGCCAGTGCAAGGGCAAAGAAAACAATGAACTTTGATAATTTAAGGTGAGAGAAAACTATGAAAGCATTTTCATAATATAAGGGTTGTATAAAGGAGGCATTGTGGGAGCCCATAGAGACCCATAATTCAGCCATGAGAGGGAAATGGTGGAATAGAGTGAGAACCCCAATGTGAGGTGGCCTTGAGTACATATATGGGAAAATGAAATGACACATCAGAGTGAATCCATATATTTTGTTGAAGACACAGTGTTGGTTGAAAATGATGAAGAAGGAAGAAATATTTGTGATAAGGAATTTCTTGCACTTTTCTCCTCAGATATATCCTATTTGCTTGTAACCCATGAAGACAAATAAAAACAGCAGATTTTCTGGTTTCACTGACATACAACACATGGTTTTCTTTGAAATCAGCATTGGGATCATAGCCAACATAATCCTGCTTCTCTTTCATGTCCTCATATTCCTTCTGGAGTGCAGGCCCAAGCCTGCTGATCTGACCATTGGTCACTTGGCCTTTATTCACATAATAATGCTCCTAAATATGGGTTTCATAGCTGTAGACATTTTTGGGTATCAAGATTTATGGGATGACATTACATGTATGTCTGTTATCTATTTGAATATGTTGATGAGGGGCCTCTCCATCTGTACCACCTGCCTGCTGTGTGTCATCCAGGCCATCACCCTCAGCCCCAGCAGCTCCTGTTTAGCAAAGTTCAAACAGAAATCCTTATATCAGAACCTGTGTGATTTTCTCCTTCTTTGGGTTTTCAATTTGATCATCAGTGGTCGTATGTTAATCTCCACTGTTGCCACTCCCAATGTGACTTCAAATAGTCTTATGTTAATTACGACATCCTGCTCCCTTTTGCCCATTAGTTCCTTCCTCAAGTACATTTTTTTCTCACTTATGACTTTCCAGCACATGTCCTTTATAGGACTCATGGTGCTTTCAAGTGCATACATGGTGATTCTCTTGTGCAAGCATAAAAGGCAGTCCCAGCATCTTCACAGCACCAGCCTGTCTCCAAGAGCATCTGCAGAACAAAGGGCTACCCAGACAATTTTATTGCTCATGAGTTTCTTTATTGTAATGTACAGTTTGGACTGTGTTATTGGGTCCACCTCTTCAATCTTGTGGAACCATGACCCAATTCAACACTGTGTCCTCATGCTGGTTGGCAATGGCTATGCCACGGTCAGTCCTTTGGTGCTCAACAGTAGTGAAAGACAAATGATCAGGTGTCTCATATTCATGTGAGGGAAAGACAGTAAATGATTTTTTATTTCATGATGGATAATTTATCTGAAAATGAGTAACTTCTTTGAACTTCCAGTGGATCATGAAATATATATAATTATGCTCTTCCTGTTAAACATATTTATTTTGATATATGGTCCTGATAAGTACATACAAGATGATTTAACAGAATATCTCCTTGAGGAAGCACAGGTTCTTAATTTTAACCTTACTTATAGGAACTACATATCTCATCTTGTTTCAAACTCTAAAGAACATGATGTATATCACTAGTTATTGAAAATAGAGCATATAGAAAAAAAGAATGCAATGCAATTGTTCAGAAAACAATTGGGATGTTATAGTATTTACTGTTTTATGTGTGCTATTTCTGGTGATATATATTGGTTTGTAGGTTTCACATATATATTTTATTTCACTTACAACCCAAGAATCTTATTTTAAAAGAAATTGAGAGAGGAACAGAAAACCTGTACAATTTGATGCCTTTAATAACATTAAATAGTACATGATGTGTCTTAGTGTCATAAATATATAAGTAACTTTATATGGAGTAATTGTAACCATTGCTTTTGTATGAGGTTGGGAAAACTCTCCACAAACTCCATAAAGTAAAATAATTGTTATCTTTATTCTCTAGTCATAATTAAATAATACTGTATATAATAACAGAAGGATAACATGTTTTGTTATCTGTTCCCTTGTTAAACTTTTATAAAAATGTATCAACCATAAATACAAAATGGTTGTCATTAGTGATAGGTAGAATGTAACATAATTTCAAAATCTTTACTTTTTTATGTATGTTTGGAAATTAGATGATAACTGTAACTATTCTTTTATCATTCTTTATAATACTGTGGTTTCAACAGCAAATTGGGGTGTTATTTCCATTTTGAAAATAAAATCAATTCTATAATTTTCTAGTATTAACTAAATGTTCAAAGCACCAGAGAATATGCACATATTGAATTTAAAATTTCTTATGAAACACTATTTTTCTGTCAAACAATATGTATGTGAGTCTGGAAACCTTTTTCTTAATTATGTATCATGTGGGTAATGTTACTGTAGATGGTATTATAAGCTATTCAATGTGAAAATCTCCTACTCTAAATTCTGGGTAAATTAGGACAAAATTCACTTAAATTCCTATGAGTGTTTACAAAATTAAGTGTAATTCCAAGTTCAAAGTATGAAGAATTATCTAAAACCAGGATATTGGGCTGGGGATTTAGCTCAGTGGTTCTGCCACCTGCCTCGCAAGCACAAGGTCCCGAGTTCGATCCCCAGTACCAAAAAATAAAATAAAATAAAAATAAAACTAGGATATTAAGCAAATCAAAAGCTGCAGTGCCCCTGATGCATTTAGAGATACCCTGGGTAATTTCTTTACGTGGTCAGTCACCCCAGTGTACAGAACTTCCAACCCTGGTTGGGTCAGCAGCATTTGAGTGGTAGAATTGAGGGTCCATGTTAAGTAGATCTTTAAGAAAAAGAACAGGTTATGTAAAAAGTGGCAAAAGAGCAAGGAATGGCAGTCCTCTTTCATAAGATAGCAATGCAATTTTTCTTTAAACCCAGTTTAACTTCAGATTAAACAAAGGTGTGATTCAAATATATGATGGCAGTAAGAAGGTTAGAAGAAGGTAAAACTTCATGACAATAGTTCTCTGGAATTTTAGCAAGTATATATGTATGCATATTTTAAAACTATATAATGTTTCAGAACAACTGTCTGCAGAAGTCATTGAAAAAATTACATCTCCAATTCTATGAATATTGGAATAACCATATATATAATATGATCGTGAGAACTATTAAAAATTAAAATAAAGTAATAAAAATTGTAAGTAAAATGCTTACATTAAAACATATCCTTTAAGGCTGGGGATTTAGCTCAGTGGTTCCACCACCTGCCTCACAAGCACAAGGTCCTGAGTTCGATCCCCGATTCCAAAAAAAAAAAAAATCCTTTAAAAAAGTGGAGGAATTTCAGTGCTATTGATATGTAGTTCACTCTTTATGTTAATTTCAACAAACATTTTTTCATGAAATTTTAAGAATTTATGAGGGGAACAGCTGCCCATGGAGCCGCATAGGCAGAGCCGCAGGGGTAGAGCACCCAGGACTGACTGAGCCCAGCTCTGTCCAGCTGGCCATGCCTACATATGACCAGGAGCGGGTAAGGACCCCTCGGACACACCCACAAGCTGCCCATGGAGCCACATGGGCTACCTGCAACAACAGAGCCCCCCCCCAACCCTGCTGTCTCTGCCCTCTTGGCTGAGCAGCCACCTGGTTCCACAATACAGTGGCACAGGGGGACATAAAGGCCATTGTCCTGAGCTGCAGACGTGAACAAGAGAGAGAGGGCCCCTCTCAGGCTCCCTGATGATATCTGAAGCCCACTGGAAAAGTGAAGAGAATCTTTGCAATAAAGGCAAACAAGGCACGCCCTACCGAGGTCCTGGGTCGCACAGAACATGCCAAATCAGCCTGCTGCAGACAGGCAGGTCTGCGGACACCCTACCGAGGTCCTGAGTCATGAGGAACATGCGAATCAGCCAGCTGCAGACAGGCAGACCTGCGCACGCCCTACAGAGGTCCCAAGTTGTGCGGAACACACCGAATCAGCCTGCTGCAGACAGACAGGTCTGTGCATGCCCTACAGAGGTCCTGAGTCGCACAGAACACGCCAAAGCAGGCCGCTGCAGACAGACAGGTCTGCGCATGCCCTACAGAGGTCCTGACGGAGCCAGCCGTCACTAGACGAACAGTACCTGAGGAGAGGGGTGAGGATTAAGAAAGACAACACCAATTTGAGAGAAAGGAAAGGGAGAGGAGAGGAAGAGCCTTCTCCTTCCCACTTTATTGAGCCTTTTATATATCCTCCTTCATTACCCACAGCCTCCCTCCCTCCCTCCCCTCATGATCTCGTGACTAATTATTTTTACAGAGAAAAGGTCAAATATATCTTTACAATTCCGGGAATGTTACTTTCTTGTCCAGCAAACATTCAAATC